CAGGTAGCCATTTGCTAAGCAAGACAGTCATTGGGTGAGTTTTGCCCCTTTTTACGACCTTTCTTGCCACAGCTGTTAAGTGAATCCCTGCAGTTGTTAAGTAAGTCACAGGTTGTTAAATGAATCTGACTTCCCCCTTGACTTGGCTTGTCAGAAGGTTACTAAAGGGGACGGGGATGCTGCAACGGTCATTAAGTGTGAAAAGTGATCCTAAGCCACTTTTTTCAGTGCTGTTGTAGAGCAGTCACTAAACGAATAGCTGTAAGTGGAGCTGCACAGCTGGTCCTCAACTTACAACAGTTCATTTAGTGACCACTCAAAGTTACAACAGCACTGAAAAAAGTGAGTTATGGCCTTTTAAATACTGATGACCATTGCCGTATCCCCATAGTCAAGTGATCAAAATCCAAATGCTTGGCAACTGACTCGTATTTATGACGGTTGCAGTATCCTGGGGGCGTTTTCATGTGTTCCCCCTTTGTGACGTTCTTTCACGCAAAGACAACAGGGAAGCCGGATTCACTTAACTATCGTGTCCCTAACTTAACAACTGCAATGATTCACTTAACAGCCGTGCCACAAAGGGTCGCAAAATGGGGCAAAGCCCACTTAACAAATGCTTCACTCAGCGACAACAATTTTGGGCTCAATTGTGGCTGTATGTCGAGGACTACCTAGATGTGGCATGTAACAACTTGTACTTCTTCACCTCTCCGGATAAAAGCTTCTCTTAGTTTTCCAAACAAATGATTAATCAGAGATGCATTTCCTATGAATTTTGGAATCACTGAATCACTAGATTGTACAAGCTAAACTTAGAGTTCCTGTCATCCATGACTTCTGGCTGGAATAGCTGGGTGATGCAATCCAGGGACACAAATTTGAAAGTTCTTTTTTAAAAGCTGCCAAAGCTACCTTCCTATCAACTCTATCCATCTTTGCAAATGCCCAGTTATAAAACGTGTTAATTACTTTTCCTTGGCATTAATGGGAATACAGTAATGGTCTAAAATGCTCCAGCATTTTATTGCTATCTACGATTCACTCCCTAAAGCATTTCATGGCCACAATTAGAGGTAGATTTGCAAAACGGGTTCGGATCCATAGATTTGCAAAAAAAAAAAGCGATTTGCAAAAAGTGCTTGGATAACACAGTTGCCAAAAGAACCATCGTAACTGCAATTATTCATTGCAGTTAAAAAAGGCAAAAAAAGAAAGACAATTTCTTTCTTGGGAGGATATGGAGTCTATACATCTTTTTTGGTTACTGTCAGATTACAAAGTTAGGTTAAGAAATCAGGTAAAATGTTGCATTAGCACTAAGCCCAAATGTGAGAGGTAACTTTAAGGAAAATAGGTATTTTCATTCAAAGAGCAAAAAAGAACTGTATAAGAAACCCAAAACCAATCTAAGTGGAAGAAAGCAAGAGGAATGATGGATGGCCTACTTTTTAAGAGCCACATAAAAATGAAGAGATGTAAGTTAGCCTAACCATGTATTGACTTACGTTGTATGTCAAGAAGATGGGCCACATGTTATATTCAGCTCACGTAAACTCAATATAATGATATATAGGCTTGTCTAAAGTAGAGAATTCTAACTTCAGAATTTTTGCAGCCAGTGAATTTTTTCTCCTCTCCCCATTTTAAATGAATGTATGAAAGTTTTATGCTGCATCAGGATGTATGTCCAGTGGGGGGGAAAAATAAGCAGACCAAATGTCTAGTTATTTGATTTAGACAAGGAAGAGCAATCATAAGGATTGAAGCTTATAGACTAGGGGATTGAAGATCACAGACAAAGGAGACTTCAGTACATGAAGTCTGTTCCTCCTCCTCTTCCTCCTCCTCCTCCTCCTCCCTCCCCCCAACCCAACTCTCTTCTTGCACTGATGATATTACCTAGTTTGGTGATGAAACATTTGCAAGAAAACCACCAAGCAGAGAAAACACCAAAGACCCCATAGTCATTGTCCTCCTCCCCCTCTCCCTCCTTTCTTCTTTTCTATCTCTTCTCCTCCTTCTCTATCCCTTCTCTTCATCCCTCCTCCTCCTCTTCCTCCTTCCCATCTCTCCTCCTCCACCTCTTCCTCCTCTTCTT